CACGGCTCACCCACGGATCACCCGTGGGTCACCTGTGAGTCGCCCGTCTCACACCAGCCTCACATCTGTACCCCCTGTCTCACACCTGTACCACCTGGCTCCCTGCCTCACATCTGTACCCCCTGTCTCACACCTGTCCCCACCTGGCTCTCCCGCCTCCCCCGCCCTCCGCTGCGCTCTGGCGCCCCCTGCGGGCCCCGCTCCCCGCGCGGGTGTCCCGCAGCCGCTCCACAGGGACACGTCCCGCCTTCCCTGGGAACATTCCCGGGGCAGCACATGCTATCTCTCGTGTCACCTGAGCGCACAACAGAACAGTAGGAGACAGGCTGGCAGACTGCCTGGGAAGGCATTCCTGAAGGGCAGCGGAGTACAGGCACTTTCCATGAAGGAAATCCTGAAGCAGGCTGCCACCCTTATGGATGAGCAAAGGACTGTAACGTGTCTACCTGGACTTTAATAAAGCCTCTGACAGCATTTTCCACAACATTCTCGTGGAGAACCTGGCAGTCCATGGCTTGGACAGGGGCTGTCCACTGTGTGTAAAACACTCGAGAGTGGTGGGGAATGGAACTCCACCCAGCCCCAGCTGGATGGCACTGACAGGACTCTGCAAGGAGCAGGTGTTGATTTAACCTTCATTTTGCTTTTTCATTGGCAGGGCTGTCCTGCAGCAACGAGACCAAAACCTTGCAGACATAAACTTACTCTTTTCAGAGCACAGGTGCACATCAGCCAACTGCTGTGCTTTGTGCTGTGGCAATACTCCTGCAGTTCCACGGTGTCAAACTAGTCCCACCCAGAGTCACCGCTCTGGCTAAGCACAGGAAAGCTGAGGTCCCCAACACTGCACAGAGCACAGACACACCAGGGAATTAACCAGGCATTTTGTCCCTTCTTGAGTTGTGAGACTGACAGATTTTGCTGGTACACACCACCTTCAAATCACTGACTGACCTAAAGAACTAAAAGTGGAAATTAAAACCCATCAGAGCCCTATTAGTCCAACTCCTTTATCAGCACCAACAAATACGTTTAACTCCCATCGTACTGTTTGCAAAACTTTGTGTGCTCATCTGTGTGCACAAAAGTATTTGTGTTCATGTGTGTGTTTATATACCTAGGGCATACTGGGACACTCAAGTCATTAACAGAATTCATCTGGTAGGAGAAATTGGGAAGGACCAGAAGTATTTCAGTCCTGCAGCAAATGGTTTACAAACAGATGCCTTTAAAGAAAGTCAGGTAAGGACTCCCTCAAATTTTCAGGGCTCTAGAACAAACACTTGAAAAACGATATGATCAAATCAAGAAGGACTTGGGATACATTGTCAGTGCATTTACAGTCTCAGAGACTAGTTATTCAATACAGTATTATTTAAATTTACATTTGAAGTCCTCCTATTTTGCCTTTCAGAAATATAATAACCTATGGGACTAAAATAGGTAAGCATCCTTTTTTTCCTGTTTAAACATTATTAATCAAGCAGTATAGGCAGAAGAAGCTTATACAACATGCAGCCAGTTGAACGCCAAAGCAAATCAGCAACTTGTATGATTATCAAGAGAAAAACAACTTATCAACTTAATGGGTAATTAAACTCAAGATTCCTTGACTCTGATATAGGCAGGATTTCTTCTTAAACACTGACTAAAAAAATCTAAGGATCCAGCAGTGTGTTTGGATCCTGTAGCTTGCCCCAATGGCATCCTGAACCACCTCTCAAGAATAACTGCTCTTGTTTTCAAGGCAAACATTGCAAAATACTGAAGCATGGAAATATGAAACATCCACATGTAACCAAACACAAAGGCATGAAGACAGACAGACAGCCTTTTCCATACTTTGGGCAGTAAGATTATTGCTGCCCAAAGTCAAATTAGCTAGTCCAGAAGCAAGAGTTTCCTAGGTGCCAACCTGTGACTGACACACACACATCCTACTATTCCTCAGAATTCCCCATGCCCGGGATGGAGACAAGCAGCTTTTTAAACTGGAGCAGAGTTTATGCAGACCAGATGCAACCATAAAAATACAAACCACTTGAACCTTAATAAAATACACAGTAATGAAAATGTTGTAAAACAGATACTAAAACCATAAAATACTAACAAGCTTAATCAAAATGAACCGGGGTCAAAGCCACTAAGTCCAGCCATCATCTGCAGAAAGCCAACAAACACCAGATGGATTTTGGTTTGGGGCAAGAGGAGGAGAAAAAAAACCAAACCTATTTTGAACATCGTAGCAAACTTACAAGCGATACAGAGAAAAAAATACTCAGAGCATTTAATATTTGACTGACTTGAAAAGTTACAGGTTTTTTACTAAAATTCATTCAGTCATAACTCGTAATCTATCCTGTAAGAGAGACATCTGGTATGTGTTAATAACATACAAACTGAGGGACAGTTGGCATTTCTCTCCCCCTCAATCCTTTCTTTAATGCTATTTTCTGAAGAACTTTGTAAAACTCTTCTGAAACAAGTCACTCCACTTGACTGCAGATCTATAAAATCCTAAGCATTTTTTTAAGACACAGATCCTTATAACCTAGTATTGGTTCCATGTATGAGGTTACTTTATTTGTCATAACAAGGAACATCTATGTGAAAAAAGTAATACAAAAATGAAGTAACGCTCATTTTGAAAAATAAATATGTAAATGTGACAAAGCAGGAATGAATATCCCTCCCACATTCCTCCTGAAAATGAGCTGCCCCATCTGAACACTTTATCTCAGTATTTTCCTTTTTATAGGAATGCAGTTCCCTGTTTACCAAACTTTCTGAACCACTTCAACCTTCAATTCTTTCAAGGCAAACACTACACTCCTTAGCACGGTTTGGTATTAGTATGATGCTGTGATTGCAAATACCACGGTTTCATAAAGTACAGTTCACCTTGGGCTCTACAGGGCAGTGTAGTATTCAACTCTATGCTGATTTTGAAAGCAACAGAAAAATATTTTTGCATTTTTAGACTACCAAGGTTTAGAATTCACTTCTCTGGGCTGATTGTGCTGTGCTTGCTCAGACCCAGACAAGTTACCTGACCTTCATGCACTTTTGGGATCAAAATCTCTAATACTTTGAAGCCCAAATATTTAAAAAGCCTAAAAATTTACACAGCAAACTTGAAAACACTGGTTGACAACTCCTTTGTTGTTTTTTTAATAAGTCTTTGCAAGCATTTTCCTGAGCAGGGACATTTGATTCTTTTTTTCCTTCTGTAATAAAAGTGAAGATCTGTGGCTCAGTAACTGCAGCTTCAGGAAAAACACCGAGTATCATGAGACAGACACGAAAATCACAAAGAACTGGCAAGAATTTCCTAGTGCAGGATTCGAGTGTGAGACTGCCAAGGGAACTGAACGTCATCTACAGCCAAGTTGCTCATGCAGTTTTCTAAAAGCAAACAGAATTGCATTCCAGATCATCACATAACATGAACAATGTGGGGAGATTTAGGCTACTTGGGCAGGGGGAAGAGAAAAGGAAGGATTAATAGCATGAAGCGCTGCCATGGATTTTCCAGGGAGACTGTGGGATCTCGCTCATTAGAGTTTTATGAACAGGTTCGACAGGCATCTGTTGGGAATGAAGTAAGTACAGTTTATCCTTTCTCCAGGCAAAGGAGGGGCCAACAGAACATCTGGGGGGCTCTGAATCCTGCTTTCTGTGATGCTGTACTCTGCAAGCGAAGGATGGAAAAACACTTTGCCAACAACCCTCAAGCCCTGACACAGTGTTAAGAACTGTGCTTGGAAAAGGAATGCTGGGCACTGAAACCTCGAAAGGTTCTTTACCAGATACTGCTGTTCTCCAGCTCAGTGAACATTATTTCATGCATTGCTCATGAAACCTCCAAACACCACCACTGCTGACAGATTTAAAATTTTCCTACTCTGAATTCCCTGCAAGCTACAATTTTTCTTTTCTTTTTCCTTTTTCCTTAAAAAGGAAATTCCTTTATTCTCTTTAAGGATACCCAGAGAGACAAGCACATATTTCAGAATCGTGTCTCAGCGCTGCCCTGATCTGTCACCCACCAGACATCACCCTGTAAATCTCCCCAAGCAATCTTGTTACAGGCAGGTAATGCTCTTTATAAACAGTGATTTTTAATGACTGTTGTAAGTAGTTACAGCTTGAACTGAGTGGATATACACTGTCACTTGACATTTAAGATATCAATCCTAATTTTACTTATGTACACACACACGTGTATATGCAAGGGAAAATCCCCTCTGGGGAGAAAGAGGGATTATAACAACTGTGCCCAATGTAGCAAGTGAGGAGACGCACCCAGGAGAGGCACTTCCTCACTGGAATCCACGGAGCTGCATCCCACACAGTTGGTTTTGGTAAGTAACTCCGTAACAACTTCGTAGCAGACTACATAGTTGAAGCACTACGAGACACATCCCGAGCTGCAGAAAACTGAGGGATGCCATTGCACACCAGTGAACCACCAGGATTTTCACAACTTCATCCTGTGTTTCAACAGTTCTCTGTGCACCTGAATTCAAAAACGTCTTTGGTTTAACTGCAGAATATGTTTTAAAGGAAGAAAATTATGTTTTGTTTGCAACGTTTTATTGCACTGTGAATGTTGCCAAATTCTTATACTGAAGACAGGGGGGAAACCCTCCCAGTTCCCCTTCTGTACACCACTAATTCATTTCTGTACTTCTTATTATCATTGCACCTCCCTTCCCCTCCATCACAGCTCTCCACTGAGGAGCCTACTTGGAGAACTTCTAGACTGCATTTTTTCCATGCACTGTTACATTTATTTCCCAGGCTTTGCCAACCAGTGGGTTTAAAGAAATGATTTGCCATCTCATATTTCAAAGGGAGAGCCCGTCATGCAGGAACCCATCCCACTTTCCATGTTCATCATCGACACCAAAGATGCCAAACACAAATAGCTTTTAAACCTGCAAACCTTTGGGAAATAGTTTTCTGCCTGGGAATATTAAGAGACAACAGGCATCTTAGGGACTTTTTCACATAGTATCCTTTTTCTATTAAGAGTTTCATCTGGACTTTGCCAACTAAAAGTCTTTTATTTCTTTCAACTCTGGAGCTGCTGCTGGCTAACTTTAGAAAAAAATTAATTCCTACTTTGAAGTTTAAAATCAGCTTTTACAAATCATGAATTTTTTTTTTTATTAAAGGTAATAAGCAAACTACTCATGTGCAGAAAAGTATGTCCTACAATGCAGATGTGGGCATGTAAATCTGCAAGGGAATGTGCACTACCTCTTTATTGCAACTTACAACATAGCTGCTGTAATTAAAATAATTACTAGTTCTTCCATAAGATTATCTGAATCTGTACTGGTTCCTTCTGTATATAAAAAATAGCCAGTGACCTAATGACCATCTTCAAACAGTTTGATGAAATAGAGAAAACTCAAGGTAGCATCACCACAATAACTTCTTTGAGAAAAGACCCTGTGACTAGGGAGGAAAAAAAGTTTCCTATAGTTAAAACAACTGTTTTTCAGCTGTGCTGTCTATTAAAAATGTTCTGTTTCCAGATACAGATTAATTATGTCAGAATTAATCTGAGGCAAATACTGTCTTCAAAATAGTACTTGTAGGGCTATAACAGTAACAAGGAGAATTTGGTTTAATTTCTCCTTAAACCATTAATTTCATACAGTCAGTATAAAAGTCTACAGTAAGTGATTTTGCTTTATGTAGTCAATGTTCCCATATGAGCCGCAGACAGGAAACATTTATAAATCCTTCAGGACGTCTTTTTATAATACTCTCACTTTTTGTTCATTACTACACTTAGGTTGTGCATTTAGTTTTGCTTTAAGCCATATTTCTTTCACAGAGGCTCAGGAGTTGTGGGGAAAAGATCCATGCCAGAAGCAGAGTAAAGTGAAAAGCAGCTATTCCTCCCAGCTCCCCGCTGCAAGCAGTTCTAAACACACAGACCCCGCATCTCTGCACAGGGGAGCAGGGATGGGACAGAAGGGGAACCTGGGTCAGTGCCATGGAATCAGCCAGAGCACCAGGAACCCCCACTGACCGTCCACACAAGACAAACCCACTCCTATCCACAGCTGCTTTGAGGGCAGTCATTGCATTTGCAAGTTTTCCACCCCAACTCAGGTTGAAATGGGGGCTTATAAGACAGTAAGACAGAGTGACCATTTAAAACATGCAATGCCAAAGACAGTGTGCTCCTTCCACAGCCTTCCCTGAATCCTGGCACCATGGCTTGCTCCATGGATTATGCTCTAAACAAGCCAAAGTGGTGCTCTGCCCCTGACAGACACCAGGAAGTCAGCTCGTTAAAGGGACAGGGACAGGAAGGATCCTCTCGTTTGCTGCCCCTTCTGTGGTGGAATTGAGACACCTCAGTGTCTCAGTGTTCCCAGGATAACTGCAAAGTGAGGAATGATTATCACTGCTGTTCTACAAAACAAGAGTGGCTATGGGGCTGTTTGAAAGGTACTTAGGTGCCTAAGGATGCAGACAGGCACCTACTGCTATTTTAGCTCTTCACCTAATTTGCAGATTTAGTTGCAAATTCCAGCCTTGGGCAGCAGTGTTTGATAGCTGTGCTGTCAATGAAATCATAGCAGTATCATTACAGCTGTCCTTCTGAGCTTTGGGTGCTCACATGGAACCTCAGTTCAATGAGAGGAGAAGGACAATATTCCAAAACAGCAGGGAATAGGCTTAGAGTGAACATGTATGAACGATTTGCACCAAAATACATAACACAATTGGAATTATGCCAAGACAGGATATTAAATACCCTAATTTAGTTAGTTTAGTTGCCTGGCCTTAGATCTATTAACCACATTCTACTTCTGTAACATTATAGTTTCTCCTTTCATTCTGAACTTCTAGTTCAGAATGCTCCAGCCTAGGATAAGCAAAGATCTACATTTATATCATTCTCAGTTTTAAAGTTTGTTATTTAATCTTTGTATATTGTGTCTTTATCTGGAGTTAAAAATATTTTATTAACTGCATCAGGTTGCACACAACAAAGTATATTTATACAGCTACAAAATTCTCTGTTAACAAACTGGGTGCTATTTAGCATTAAATGGGTTAGAAACATTTGCAAAACAGCTCCCAGCACCACTGCTGCATGGAGAGGTTGTCAACATGGCCAGGAATTCTCAAATACGTACCTTAAATCAACTTAGAAACATTAACATTTCAAACTTCCCAAATCAATATGGAATACTAGAAAGCCAACATTTATTTTTCTATTTTTACAGGGCCGTGCACATTCACAAATTGTATCAGACATATATGTATGTCACTTCCAAAATAAAAAGTGGATAGCGAGTGTTTCCCACTTAGGTTTTCTTCACATCTTCTATAGAATTTAGTTGTCCAGTGTATCCAAGGTAGAATCACTGGGACTAAATGCCAGCTGTGCCTGTTCTGTGGCAGAGGTATCAGCTCTAACTCTGCTCTCCCAGCTGCCGTGGCACGAAGTGAACTGGCCTCAGTGTGCAGCTCTCTCAGTGCCACGTGCTCACAGAGCTGTTCCCATCTGCCTTCTGCAGGACAAGCTCACAGCACAGGTCTCTGGGCTTCAAACTCTGATCCCTGTTTTATTTCCTGTGCACCTTTGGATAAGCAAACACAAGCTCAGTGACAGATACTGAGATTTATTTTTTTCTTTCTGCACCTTTTAAGCCTTATGGATGTTTAGCTTTTCAAACCCGTTCCATGACCCAAGTGCACTCTGGCTCATGGGTACCTGTACACACAGACACACACTCTCCTTTTTCCTGGGGAAACAACTACCACGGCCTCCGGCCTCAGCCCTGCTGGCTGCATCCAGCACTGCCATGGGACACAGATCTCCTGCACACCACCTGCACCTGAGCTCACAATGAGAAACAACCAGCTCCGTGTGCTCTGGGTCACTTGCACATGCATTTAGCTGACCATATTTTGTTCCTAGCAGACACAAAATCCAGCTGCGCTAGTCACCTGCTTGGCATGACCCTTCTCCCATCACCTGCAAATCAGCAGAGCTCAGCTGAGTTGGCACTAACCTCTGTTTTCTGAACAGGCACAGTCCTGATCAAAGCCAGTCTGCACAAAGACAATGCTACTCCTTTTGACTGGAGTCACTCCAGTAATAGCAGGGATGTTCTTTGTAGGATCAAGTGAAGCGACATACAGAGAGAAGTCTTCTTGGCTCTGAGACAGCAGAACACTCAAATACAGAGCATCTTGATTTACTGCTAGATTAGTTTGTGAACTGACAGTGCTGACACAGCCAAAAAAATTAAAAATCGTCTTTCACAGGAACAACCAGAATGTGGCAGAGAATCACCTCTAAAAAACGAAGCACAGGCCAGACTAAGTCCATGCAATCTCCTCTAGAGCTGTCAGATTTTTTCTTTCTGCTCCATGATTTACAACATCACAAACTGTGCAGCAGACACAGTAATGGCAGAGTTTGATGTTAAATGATTTTTCTGACTCCCCTTATCTCCCCTAGTACTGAAAAGGCCATATCTGTCTGTCATGCAGCACTTTTTCCTCCCCCAGAATCTCCAGAAACCAGTGTGAACATACCCTCTGAAGTGGGAGAACAGTGTGCAGGCCGTCAGTGCCCAGCTCCTTTAACAACTCTCCAGCGAAACACTTCTGCTACAGCCTCCACAGCGCAGAGGAAGGGATGGGGACTTTCAGATTTGAAGAACTTCCTCCTGTATTTGCTTTTTCATCGTTAAGCTTTTGTGTGCAGCCACCTGAACTGGGGCCAAGGCAATGCCTTCATCCAGAGTCTTGGGCAGGTGAATGAACGACCACAGACACCAGGAGACCCCTGCAGTTTTGTGGTTCTGTACGGAAAAAAACTCTCGGTTTTGTGTTGTCTCTAAATAATACTGAATCTGGGATGCAGTTTGCAAGCTGCCCTGCCTTGCCCGTGAGCACATTTCAGAAGGAAGGTGCAGGAAGATGTACCGCACAGCTCGGGCTGTCGAGTTCTCCTCGACGCCCCCTCAGGGAAGATGGCGGCCGGCCTCTGAGGGGAAGATGGTGGAGGCGTCCGGGGGCTGAGGCGCTGCAGGGGCTGGAAGGGCCGTGTCGGCAGGGCCGTAACGCCTCCAGAGGTTCCTGCGTTACCCTTGAAAAGCATCGGAAAGCAGCCTGTGAACCTGACGGAGCGACAATAGGAGCAGCACCGAGGTGCTGCCACACGGGTGGCTGTGCCCTTCAAACAGCAATCAGCCCTGCCAGAGCTCCTGTAAATCTGTTCCTATCCACCAACCCTCTCACATACACAAGGCCACAATATAACGTATATTGAACTTAACACGCTGAACAAAGACCTTTAACCAAACTCTGAGAGATGCTAATGGAAGTCACTCAGTGCAGAAATATGTTAAAAAGCAGGCAAAAATGGACATAAACCATTGTTAACGGGCTACCGCAAGACCTTACCTTCGCAGTAATGGGAATCATTGTGAGGAAGGAGCACCGTATTTGGTGGTCATCACACACAGAGCTTTATCAAAGGTTACAGCCAAGTATGAGTGGAAAAAACATAACTAGCTGGAACTTCCTAACCACCAGGGACAATGCTTTCAAAACAGCATGCAAGAAGTCACCCATAAATAAGAATTCTTGATTAAAAATTCTGGTAATCCAAAGGACTGTACTGAAGGGTAAAGGAGCAGATGCTGGTGTTTCTTAGTGCTCTTTCTCAACAGAGGTCAGCTATCTCCTTTGTGCTTGTGTTGAGGAAGGTCCTTTAGGAAGTTTTAACAACTACAAGGCAAGGCAGGTAATGCACTTGCTGTAATCACGAACACACCCTTTGGTTTTGACATCTATTATTTTAAGGCAGGCACAGTTTTTGTGACTAGAATATGCATCCTACTTCATGACTTCAATCTGAGTCTACAATTTCATTCACATTAAAACCTATGAATTTATGCTACAGCAGATTTCAATAGATCTTCTGCCATTACACAACATAGTTCCTTTGATCTTTATTTTAAAATCAGCTCCTGCTTTTCCAGGAGTTAGTCTGGTATGCTTTGCAGCACCACAGTTGGGAAGATGTTATCACAGATGTTGCCATTTTTACTGATTAAGTATCACAGGAGTTTATACAATACATATTCTGAGAGAGCAGTCACAGATCTCTATCATTTATCTAGAAAAATCTTTTTATTCTATTCACTTAGGTCTCTATCACAATATAGTGGTTTTGGTAATGGCTGAATTATTTTCTGTGTGGTTCCCTGGCATGCCAAGATACAGCTCATGGTAACTTTTCCACAGGTGAGACAGAAAGACGTCAAAATATGAAGTCCACAGCACCAGACTGAACAAAGAACATCAAGGAGGCCTCTCTCACATTCCTTCTCCTCCAACAATGAAGCTGCAGCTTTTGCCCTTTGCTAACTCCCTCAACTAGCCCAAGACTCGCCACTGCTGGCCATGGGTGAGCACATGGCTCTGGGTTTCAGCTGACAGACAGAACAAAAGGCTTGGAGTTCACTTGAGACAGGAAAAAAATAGGGAGCTAATTTTGATAAGAGAATGAGTTTAAGCGTTTCAGGAGCAAGGAAAGAATGTAAGCAAAGAGACAGGAATGAGACAAGGAAACGATTATGAATGTGCTGAAAAAGAAAATATAAAGTTCCTCAGGAAGGAGAAGGTTATACAAGAGTGAAAGGGGAGGGGGAGGAAGCAAGGGAACACACCAGCAAAAACCACTGGCAAAGACTTCTGAAAAAGCACAGCAAAGGAAAAATAGGGTAAGTTTACAGCTCTCCTACTTAGATGAACATTCTATTCTCTCTATTATTAATTTTTTAAACTTTTCTCACTGGTTGCAAGAAAATGAATCTTCAAGTTCTTTTAGCCTGCCAGTATGACAGAGTAGACAGGGGAGAATCCCTCAGCAAGCGACAGGATCGACATCACAACTACTGTCGTAGTAACTTATAACCAGATCTCATCAACTGCCTGAAGAACTCCACCAGATGCATTTACCAGGCCTTTCTTCAGACTCGTTAAAGGGCAAACAAATGAAAACCAGCACCTGTCCTAGAAAGACAGAACCTGCAAACAGCAGCAACAGCCCAGTATCGTGCGTGTGGCTGAGTAAATGATCAGAGACTGAGAAAAAGCAGATCATCTTCAATTTACCAGTTCACTGGTCTCTAGGTGTCAGCACTCCTGACATGCTCATTAAGCCAACGACCAGTCCTGCAATCTATTAGCTACATCCCTTCAAATTTATTGTGCTGAAATGTGCAATTAATTGTGTGTTGGTGTTACATTATTTGTTCTGCAGTCACAGAAGCTAATCCATTTCTGTCTGCTAGTTACCTAGCCTGGGAATCTTCGTATATGTTGATCATCTAATGCTAAGCGAGTTATTGACATTTAGAGGCATCACAAAAGACTCTTGTAACTCAAAACTCTGTTCCTGTAGCTACTTTAAAACAGCTGACCTTAATGCAAGCAATTGCATGAGTCCAAAAGAAAACACAGTAGGAGAAGGCCAGCTGGAAATTTCAACCATCTTTTAACCTTCTCACAATTCCTGCCATTACCATAACTCTTCAGGAAATACACCATCAAAATCAGGCAATTGCTAACAGATGTGTGGTGTATTTTCAGCCTTTGTCGATACTCTGGTTACTGAGCTAGAATCCCAAATAGTCCAAACCCCCTGAGTTCAGGGGGGGGAGCACTCCCTGATTTACTCAGCTCAAGTAATAAAAAGCCACATACTATCAACTTCATTATCCATGGGATCCCTTATGCATCAAGCCAGCACCCACCCTGCCTTTGGAAGCGGTGTCTGGTGTTCCCTCGGGATAAGAATACCACCATCCCCCTGCTGATGGAGTCAGTGCAAGATCCCCTCGGCACTGCCAGGAACCCTCCCAGCCAGCACAGATCCACACCCACATCCCAGGGTGGACAGGACTCCAAATTCAGCCATGGCTGGCAGTACAGTTTGGAATGCAATGGGATGTCTGCACTTCAAGGCTGAATACACAGCACTGAGCTGGCTGTCCAAGCACACAGAATTCCCTCCCCAGGAAACCACGCACTCCCGAGAGTGGAACGGCCAAACCTTTGCCTGATCTCATAAGCACACATATGCAGATTTCAAGGACAAGAAAAACCTGCATTTTGCATTGCTGGTATTCTTTCAGCTGGGGAAAATGCCTAAGTATAAACCAGGAAAAATAGGAGAATACAGAGGAAAAGAGGAAACACTGGGTTTGGATTATATAACATAAGTAAAAGCAATTTCACTGAGATTAACATCCTCTTAAAGCGTCCAAGTGGGAGCATAACCCAGAGCCAGAACCTAAAAATTATCAAAGTAGGATTCACCTCATTACTTGGACGAGCCAAAAAGTTGGGCATATAAACCCTCCTTCATAGTTAGGCACCTATTCCAAGCAAGTCACTCCACCTTTGTGCAGCCAGCCCTTCCAGGGGCAGCCTCTGTTCTGCCTGTGGAGGGCACCTACTCTAGGATGGCACGGTCACCATTCCCAGCTGCACAGGGAGGCACCCAGCCTGCAGAGCCTAAAACCTCACAGCAGCAATCTGGGGGCTGCTCTTACCAGGACACCTAATTCCCCAAGGACACGGCAAAACAGCCATTCTGAGACACCTGAGGTGGCCACAGTCCAAAATCAGACCTGCTGAACACCAGACCCACCCTTTCTTGAAAAACTGTATATTAAAAACTATGGGAAAGATATTTTTACTAATATTGCTCTTTACAGAGCTCTAGGAATATGAAACACTGACCACTTCTTGTAACAAAATGGGAGTAAAGTTTAACCAATTTATGTATGCTTTATTCTGGTTTAACATTAAAAATATTTTGCCTTTTTTATTTACTTTAAAAATGAAGAATAAAAAAAAAGTATATGAGGGTCTGAAAAACAACCTCTGTGTATGTTCTAGGATGATAATCAAATTTGTTTGGTTTGTTGTTCAGAAACAATTTTAGAAAGGGATACTCATGGAAAAAAATGAACTAGGAGAAAAACATGGCTAAAAAGTTCTGAGAAAAATGTAGTTTGTGAAAAAGATGCTTTATGTCTTCTTTACAAGGCAAATGAACCACAAGAAAGACAGAATTTTTATATTACATTAAAATTTATATTACACTGCATGAGAAATAGTTCTGTTAAACGAGGCATTAAGAAAAGGAAAAAAGAGATAAAACTTCATTGCCACTTGGTAAAGAATTCCTAGCCAGTGCACCCATCTGCCACGGGAGGGAAAATAATCCCACACAGATAAAACAAGGAAAACATGCTTGCAAAGCTATCATAAATTTGGGGTTCTGGGACTATGAACATTTGAAGTTTTATGAACATTTAACCTAAACATAATTTCTTGTTATGCATTACCAAGTAAGGCTAAATATTTAATGAGCATTTGTTGCACAAAACCATACTTTAAGTCTACGTGAACATCAGAGCAAATGATACAAGGTTTAAGGTATTTTAAAATAAAGATATGTTTGAAGCAGTTATTTAAAAAGAAAAGCATCCCCAAAACTGACAATTCAGAACTTGAAACAGCCTGGTATGTATTATAATTTAATCCTGATCTAGGAGATCAAAACGTATTGCCACAAAATTTCCCTGTGGTGATAAACCTTCAAATCCAAAGCTGTTCTCCTGTGCACCACCAACACTTACAGATCAGGTCAGACTGCTCAAACTCACTCTGGGAGGTCAATACTTAGGATTTCTACCTTTGCCCAAACTTGTGTTATTTTACTGAATTCAAGCTCTAAATCAAAACATTCTGGTTACAGAGAACACACCTGAGTTGGCAATGAGCACTTAGATCTCACCTATGAAAAGTACTGTGAGCCCAAATAAAGGTGTCGCTTTTTCTTCCAAGGGACAATGAACTTGTACCCAACTTAAGAGGTGAAAAATATATACCAAAATAATTTTATATTTGGTATATAAAGCTGTATATACATAGGAGCTATGTATCTTG